CTGGAATATTAATATACAATAAAAATAAATAAATTTATAAAAACAATCATAAAATATAGAATGTCTATATAGAAATATAGAATAAAAAAATACTAAAAAAATAAAATAACATACAAATCACATCAAGAGACTGAAACATCAATCACAATGGAGTCATCTAAGAATGTCTCTGGTTCCTTGGAGTCCCCAGGCCTGGTAACACAAAAAGGTCTTGAAAGGTTTCTGGAATGATAGCAGGGGTAGAGCTAACATGACATGAGAAGGCAAGCACCATGGCAGAGAAGACCTTCCTGCTGAGGCCCATCAAATGTAACTCGCTGGCAGATTAATGGGATTGGCTGATATAATCAGGGACAGGCAGTCTGTCGGACAACCAAGTCCCATGCCAATAAGAACTTTAAAGCTAGCACCTTGAATTTGACCTAGAAGCATCAAGCAGCCTGGCTAGGTGGCTCAGTGGCTAAGACGCTGAGCTTGTCGATCAGAAAGGTCGGCGGTTCGGCGGTTCGAATCCCTATTGTAGGTCTCCAGTGGGAGCAGGAGGTTGGACTAGATGACCTCCAAGGTCTCTTCCAATTCTTGCAGCTCCGCCCCCCTCAATTCTGTTACTGTTATTAGCCTATGCAGCTTGTGGAATAGAGCTGTAATATGTGCTATTTTGGAGCATAAATAACTGCCCACTCTGCTGCATTCTAACCCAGTTGATGCTTCTGAATAGTCTTCAAGTGCAGCCTTTGGGCATTATAGCAATCTAATACAGAGGTGACTAGGGAATAAATATATGTATGTGCATAGTCAGACCAATATAGAAATAATTGTTTTGTTTTTATTTAATGGCTATGTAATTCAATTCTGTTCAAATTCAAATATCCAAATGAATTTGAAATTTTATTCAGTTTTTCAGATTTACTCAGAAAAGTGTCTTAATCTTAGTGACAGTTACTTAAAACTGACAAGAGTCCCCTACTCTTTTTCTTTGGGCTGTGGAAAGGGAGTTTAATGGAAATACTACAGGCGATGCTACGTAACACACAATTCTAGCTCTAAAGTTCCATTTCATCTAGACATAAACTTCAATATAAACAAAATAATCAATTTTTTTTATCCTCACCAGGAAAGATCAGAACACATATCTTCAAGAAAGGGGTCAAAATAAGATACATAATGATAATGCTTTTAAAAATGTGTATCGCTACCATATGTTTATATACCTTTAATACAATTCCCAAGTATAGGATTGGATCAAAGTTTTTACTTTTGATTATGAAATCTCAGAGAAACTCCTTCAATTAAAAATTGTATGGGTCCTGAGATACACCTCTCTATACTTACTTTTTTTAAAAAAGTAACCTAAGATTGTATATTGTCTCATCTCCTTTTTAATGTCTACATTAATACAATAACCTAAACTCTGAGAAATATTGAATTTTATTCTCTAAATTGGCTAATTAATACATTTCATTCCTCCTTTATACTAGTGACACACTTATCCTCTCTACAAAGCAAGTTTATTTAAAATGAAGTCTTCGAATTCATCATATATTGTGAAAAAGAAACGCGTGTATTATTCTTGGATAAATATAGTGGTCCTTACCAAAAGGCTCCCCTTGGAAAATTAACATTTCTAAAGAGCAGATATTGGAACACTGTTATCATGTCACTCCTAGTCCTTTTCATTAAACTAGACATGCCTAATTCTGCAACCATTCTTCATATGTTTTAACCTCCAATCCATTTTTGTTTCTCTTCTCTGACTCTTTCTAGAGGGTCAACATCTGTTTTATATTGTGGTGACTAACATTGGATGCAATACTTCAAGTGTGGTCTTATTAAGGCATTATAAAGGGTTATTAACACTTCATGTGATCTTGATTCTATCCTTCTGTTAATACAGCTTAGGATTCATTTGACTTTTTTGGTGGCTGCAGCAGATCATTGGCTCATATGTAGCTGATTTTCCATTAGCATTCCAAGCTTCCTCTCACAGTTATTAATATAGAACCCCAAATGCAATTCTGTATTTTCTGAATAGCATAGTGCCTTATCCTAATTTATAAGGTTCTATAAAGTTTAAATGGTTAATGTTGTGATTCACTGATTTAAATTTATGAAGTTTTAAGACTCCTTGAAGATTCCAATGCTTAAGATCTCTACTCCATGATTTTTAGAATGTTTTCAACTTCTTGTCGTACTTAGAATTTTGACTAGCTTCTTTAGACCATGCAGTGTGAAGTTTTGTCATCTGAGATTTTGGTTAAAATGGATTCTTGATTAAAATTGAATTTTACAGTGGTCTCTTTGAAACTTTGGGGGTGGTATATTGATTTGAATCTTAGGAACTCTGGTTTCAAAACCTAGGATTTAATTTCATTCAGGTTCAAGGAGAATAGAAAGGATGTGTCCCTGACACCAATCTTCCAAGTCATTGAAGCACAATACCACCCTAACAGCAGAGTGGGGTGGGGGGTGTCTGGCCAGAAAATTGTTTACTCCAGCTAACTAATTACCATCTCATGCATGTTGCACCAGAAACTTTTGTAATTGGAATAATTCAATTTTAGGGGGAGGGCCTTCTCTGTGGGGACACCTACCCTCTGGAATCAATTGCCTCCAGAGATAAGGAGAATCCAAGACCTCAGTGCCTTCCGCTGTGCCCTTAAAACCTTCCTTTTCCAGCAAGCCAGGCTGGCCTAATTTTTTAAGTGTTTTTAAGTGTTTTGTTTATTGTTTTTAATTAATGGGGCCAAATTTATATATATATATTTTAACTGTATTTTAATATTTGTACTTGATGTTTTTACTTGGCTGTTCACCGCCCTGAGTCCTCAGGGAGAAGGGCGGTATACAAATTCAAAATAAAATAAAATAAAATAAAATACTATTTACTACTACTTCTAAAAACAAAAGTGTAACATTCAGAGACAGGTTCATCCTCAGCCTGAAAAATCTCTAGTAGTCCTAAACTATCCAAGAAAGTTTCATGTGGAAGCACCCCTATCCTATTGGCTAATATGCCTGTTAACATATCTAGAAAGGTAGACAAATTTTGTATAATTGTAATTGTTACTGACAGTTAATTATGTAGACTTTTTTCTTATTAAAGCTTAAATTATTATCTTCTTAGTTGTTTAACCCTCTAATGTCACTAGGAAGATTAATCAATTTTCTTACAATTTTACATTATTAATTACATTATTAGTATTTTTAAAATAGTTCTATTTTTTGAAGTGATGCTTTTAACATTAGCTGTAATAAACATAAGTAAAACTTAGCATAACACTGTAATGTTGTCTCTTTAAAAAATAATATTCTGAGAATATTAGGAGCAAATATTAAATATTTTTTTTAAAAAAATAATATATTTAGAAATATATTTTGATTCATAGTCTGGATGGCAAAATAATTTCATAAATTGGAATGGTACTAAATTAATTCTTTGGAATTAAAAAAAACTAATGTACCCAAAAGCAAAATTTATTATGCAGGAAACTACTGTCCTATTAATAATTAGTCTGGCACATTTAGGGACCTAAAGAGAAAAGACAGGACTGAACAATTTTTTCTCTAACAGGTTTTCTTTCATTCAGTTAAAAATTGGAAAATGTATACTGAGGCTGTCACATATGGCTCAAGATTCATGACTTCTATGACAACCATAAAATTATCCCAATATGTATCAGGTTTAATAAACATAATAAGCCTACATTGTGTTTGACTGATATGGAACAGTTTAATAAGAATAATTGGATAAATAACTTATACCTTTCAAGTAATGGACAAATAATTATACAATGAATAAAAATGAGATTTTATAGCCTTCAGGGGTTTGATGAACATTAAAATAGGCTCCCTTTTGAATGATTGATTAATTGGATGGTTCATAGGCTTTTCTGAGGCTGTCTCTAAATAAATTCTAAGTTATCTTAGAGAAACCTTCAGTAAGAAAACTAGCCCGAATAGTTGACCACATTGTTCCTATATATCTTCCCCATCAACAAGAGTCCAAATTGTTTCTTAGGGTTTTTTAAATTGTTGAAGGCAATGAAGCAATCAAATTAAAGCAAGATAAGAGAAAGCAGAAGTCTTGCTATAAATTCAGTTTTTTTAAAAAAACTAGGATTGGTGGGCTAGGTTTGACTTGCTGATAAACATAGCAAAAACAAACAATGTTTTTTTTTTTAGTTTCATTTTCTTTAAGTTAATCAGAAGAGACCACTGTACACTTCATACATCTTTTGGTAGAGCATATAATATAAAATTTCCTGTTTCCCAGTGATTTCAATCCAAAGTCCTCTTGTAAGGCAAGTGGCAATTGGAAGAAAAGGATAAGAACAAATATTGTGACATTTACATTAGAGAAAGTGTATATGCACACTTGAATATATTGTATTCAGTATACATTTTGTAAGCTGCATAAAATCACCTATGTGTGAGTTGGGCAACTATATAAATTTGTTTAATAAATAAATGAAAATAATGATTGATCATGATAACTAGGTGAAATATGGATGCAGAATTTGATTTGGATCTGACAGAATTTAAATTCATTTTTAACATCCACTGTACTACAATATATCCAATTGCTAGTCTGATGTGGTAACAGAATACAAAATATGTCAAATAGCACTGAAGTCTGTTATTGTAAAAGCCAAAAAAACTGCTTAACTACAAATAGTTTTAAATACTGTAATAATTGAGTAATGAAGGAAATCTAAATGAATTGTGTGTCCTCTGTTACTATTTTTACATATTTTGAAACAGGAGTGACAGGAATGTAAAAAAGTACCATGTTACATAGTCAAGTTTGACTCTGGTAGCGATGTCAACAAAATTATTGCAAAAATATGGAAAACGGTTTGTCATTCCTTTCCTCAGGGATTCTTTAAAACTTCATAATCTAATTTAATCCTAGATTTCCAAATTATCACATACCACATACCTAGGGTGACCAACTTTTTTACAATGAAAAGGAGGACACAAATAAATTGAAGAAAAAAATATCGTAAATAAAAGAAACATTTTATTCATTGCGTGCGTGTGTGCCGTGTCGTGTTTCAGTAAGAAGTAAACAAAGCCACTTGTGCGCAGAGCACTCTTGTGCACGGCGCACTCTCTCAAAACAATTCTCCTGTGCCGAATGCATGCATCTCATAATCGCGTCTCACCGCACTGTACCAAGCCTTGACGAATTGTCATGTCAAATACAAATATGTGTCATCACATGCAACGGATCGGATCAGCATCTATCAAATACAGAGATTTACAGATTAGTCTTCAAATATCGAAAAGGAGGACATGTAGGAGAACACTTTTTGAGAGAGGACAAAACTTACAAAAGAAGGACTGTCCTCCCTAAAGCAGGACGATTGGTCACCTTACAATACCTGCAGATGAAAACATTGCTTAGTTGTTTTTTTCCCCTAAAATAGCCACAGTAATCTAAGTGTTCCCACTTGCTATGATTTGCTTTGTTTTAATGGATTTATCCCCTACATTTTTATACAAGTTCTGTTTAGGCACCAATATCCATCAAAAGATGCAATTATTCTTTGTACTATCATTGCTGCTTAACATTCTCATAAGAAATCTGGCCCTGGTTAAATTTATGTATCCTCAAATCAATGAGCAGGTTAGTCCAGTCAATGGAAATAGGTACTTATTGCAAGAGATAAATATATCTTCTTCGATTTATAAGACAACAGAGAAAGAAAATAACTCAATATTTCTATTTTCTAAGTTCAGGTACAATAGTAAATCTTGCTAATTATGATCAAAATTAATCTCATTAATAGTTATGGAATGGCAATATTCATGCCTTCACAAAATTATGAATTGTTAAGCTATGTTTACATGTGTGTTGGATGTTTTAATCAGAAATGGTTTAAAATTTTATTTTTGCAAATAAGAGTCATCTTCTCTTACTACAATAGATTTATTTTATAGCTCTAATTTGTATCAAAACTCAGTTGGATTAAAACATGGTTTTATTCTGGAATATATGCCATTAGAGCAGATAATAATGTTCCTAATGGATTCAGAATCCATCCACCATCATAGAGTAAATTGTCAACACACATCAAACACTAGGAATGGGTATCTACATCAAAGACTTGTTTTCACAAAGATTTTAGTTCCCACTTTTATTGTGGAAATTAATTTCCGTTGTTATTGTCTTTTTGATGCTTGTCTTTTCATATACTACACAAGAAGTAGCAAAAGTATCTTTTAACATTAAGACATTTACTCAGATCTATTTAGCTTTAGCAATTCTTTAGTGTAGTTCCTTGTGATTTCTTGTGCTTGGCTCTTTTTAATCTGGTTTCGGTTACCTTTAACTGCTGCTGTCTTGAACTATTTGTTTGTATGATGGCTGTTTGTTATCTATGCTTTAATCTTTTACTGTTTTAATCTTGTAAACTGCTTTGAGTGTCCCCGAAAGAAAAATGGGAGTAAAAATAATAAATCAAATCAAAAGAATAAGACAGACAAATAAATTGAGAACTCAGGAAAATCTAGTTTAGTAGTATTTATTCTGATAACAACTTCTGCCAACCTGCAAATAATTTGGAGAGTTAATGAGAAGAGTTATGCTGCCATCTATTGGTTTTGGAGCTGTGTTCTTGGTTTTTGAAAAAGGATTGAATGAAACTGTTGCATGTCTGTCTACCTATTCATCCACAATACATACTTGAAGTATGTGATTCAGTATTCTCTATTTGATATATAGAATATCAAATGCACAGAGAATAACTACTGGCATTAAAGATGCAATTCTAGTAATTGTATTCAATATAATTTACTTCTGCATATGTATCAATGTTCTCACTGAAAGCGAATCATGCTACTTGCACCAGTGAGGATAATTTTATTTTTAGAAATAAAATCTAATCTTTAGAAATGTTAATGTGTTTCAACTGAAGGAAGAATTCAAAGGTTGTGTATTCATCTTCTCATGATCACCATGGTCACTGAAACTATTGTCCACTTTAAAACATAGAAGATAGAGTAATAGATTTGGAAGGGACCTTGGAAATCTTCTAGGTCAACCCCATGCGTGAGCAGGAGACCCTATACCATTTCAGACAATGTTTTTCCCAAAATAAGACATCCCCTGATAATAAGCCAAATTGGGCTTTTGAGTGCATGGCAATAAGGCCAAGCGCTTAGTTCAGAGTTCAAAAAAATATAAGACAGGGTCTTATTTTCGGGGCATTTTTCTTACTAATGGAAAGATATAAATATTAAATTTCTTAAATATTAAAAAAATAGGAGAAATAATTGTTTGGATTAGCATAAACAGTAAGAATGAATCTGACTTATTTTACAGCTCTAATTTGTATCAAAATTCAGTTGGATTAAAACAGGATTTGTATATGTGCCATAAGAATATCTGTAGAGGAGGAGAGGAGAAATAAGGGAAATGAAACACAAAGATCACGTTCCTTCCAAATTTACACCAACAATATTTTACCAATCCTAGCAACTGAATACAGTATATTCAAGTGTACATATACACTTTCTCTAATGTTATATATATACCACCATTTGCAGTAATATATCTCTGGATCTAATCATGGCAACTGGACCAAGTTTGGGGCAATTTTTTTTAAAAGAAACTGGTTAGGTTTTCATTCAAAGCTAGAACAAAGTAATATCAAATCATTTCACTTTTCCAGGGCACTCCATTCCTGATCACAGAGTGCACATCTTTGAAATAAAATTGACTGAGTGAGATATTGCTGAACCCACATATATCAAAAGGTTTCACACTATCTCTGAAAACACTCCAAGTGAGGCAATGGCAAACAAATGCTATCCTGTTTCCCTGAAAATAGGACCCAAGCAGAAAATAAGTCCAAGCATGATTTTTCAGGATGCTCGTAATATAAGCCCTACCCCCAAAATAAGCCCCAGTTAAGATTGTCAGCCAGATGGATGCATTTAGTACCGTATTCCCCCAAAATAAGACTTAACCAGAAAATAAGCCCTAGTGTGTTTTTTAACACAGTACAATTATTATTTTATGAGGTACTTGTAATTTGTATCAATGTTTGCCTAACCATCTAGTCTTCCCCTTGCTTCACCCCAATTTAAATCTTATATGCATGTCATGAAGTTAGCTGAAGCTCAAGGAAGTTTATGTCTTTTAAAATGTGTTAAGATGAAAAGGTGCTATTATTCCCCTCTGATTCTTAAAAAGAAAACAAGAACGTTGCCAGTGCAATGTTTCTGGTTCAGTGACTAACTCTGGAATGTCACTAAATTCCATAAACACTCTTTATAGATTAACACACAATATAGAAAGCATTTATATTTTGCAATCCAATCCTAAACTGGTTTACATAAAACTTTGGAACAGCAAGGTTAGGGCCTGGATATTTATGGGACCGTCTTCTGCCACCGAGAGCCTCCCACTGGCCAGTCCCCTCCCATAGAGAGGGGCTCCTCCAGGTGCCGTCGGCCAAACAATGATGACTGGCGGTCCCCAGGGGGAGCGCTTTCTCTGTGGGAGCACCTGCCCTCTAGAACGAGCTCCCCCCGGAGATACAGACGATTCCGGACTTACATACTTTCCGTCGGGCTCTCAAAACATTTTTATTTCATCAAGTCGGGCTGGCCTAATCTCTCCAATTGTGTATTTTAATTTGGATTTTTAATGGGGGATTTTAACTGTTGGGCCAAAATGTTTAATTTATTTTTAAATTGTTTTTTAATTTTGTATTTGATGTTTTTTACTTCTGGCTGTTCACCGCCCTGAGTCCTTTGGGAGAAGGGCAGTATATAAATTCAAATATTAAATTAAATTATTAAATTAAAGGTAGGTCAGACTCTTTTCAAAAGGTAAAGATCTGGCAGAATGGCTTTCAAGGTAGCTATTTTTTCTAGGTGGCATATCATGACTTATTCTAATCAGAAGGGTCACCCAATCCTTAAGAGGACACAAGTCACCACAAGTGGAAGAATTGCCATTCTGCCGCTTCCTAAACTGCTAGCAAAATATCACTGAGCACTTTTCTAATTCCACCCATTGATCTATTTAAAAAAAGAGAAATAGGGTAATCATAGGTAGACTGTGATAAGCAAACTCTTAAACCAAGATTAACAAATAACTAGCTTTGATTCACCTTTATTTCAAGAAGTCTACTATGTGTCTTGTCTTGATTACTAAATTGAATTCTTTGAATGAAGAATGTGATTAAAAAGTAAAATAAATAAGGATACAGCTCAAATAGCCATGTACTGATGTTTTTTACTAGGTTATACATTACTGAACTACATTTGGAACATGTATTTTAGGACTGTGCTATATAAAACAAAAAAATAGCACGGCTTGTAAAGATGTCATACTAAAATGACATTGTCAAACATTTTTATTGAAAAGGAGAAGACTGTGACAACCTGGATATGAAAATTAAATTGTACTGAAATAAAATAAAATTAAGTAATGGCTTCACTTTCCTGTGAAAATAAATACTCATTCTATTGCTAAAAGTACATTGCAAGGGCTATTTGCATATAGAAATATAGATCAGTGAAATGACAAGTGACCTTACTACATAGACAAAAGATGTGAGATGCATTTAACGACTGCATAATATCCAAAGGCAAGTTTTTCTTTGATGTGATTTTCTCCCTTCTCCTTCATATTGTGATTTGTTAATACCGAGCAAGATAGGAGAATCTTATTTGAAACACTTCATTGTATTTTATATTAAATTTCAGGAAATTCTAAACTGTTTAATGCATAGAAATGTGGTTGAATTTGCATTTTCTGCTTTGTAATCAGCCATGTTATTGTCTGTTACTCTCAGCTGAATCTTCTGTCAGAAGCAATACTCTCATCAATCTATCAGGAGACCCAAGCAAGAAGTTTTCCTCATCCAAAGTTCCTATTAGCTTTGCTGCCTGGAGACTACAGCATATTTAAGAGTACACAGTCACTCAAGCTTCTTGCAATGTCAAATATCAGGGGTACGTTCTTCTATTCATCTTTGTTATATTATTCATTCCTAGTGTACAACCTTACCCAAATTATGGTAGAAAAATTAATGTCTGTCTGCTGATTAAAAATTATTTACTGTTTTTTTTCTATTTCATTTATACAGTACCTTTATACTTTAAGCTTATCGTACTTGTAATTGCATTTTGAAGTCATTGTGAATGACTTCTGTAAACAAAATATATCTCTCTCAATGTACAATAATTTAAACATACACATAATAATTTGCACTTTTTCTTTTAT